TGGGAAGGCATCCTGGCCCAGGTGAGGGGCGACTGGGCATTCGACAAGGAGTGTTTTTACTTCGGCCAATGGAACAGTGCTGTTTCAATGTGTTGGAAATGCAAGGCCAGCAACACGGTTGCAGGCCTGGAGTGGACAAACTGCAGACGCGATGCTGGATGGCGCGGCACGCTCTTGACCCGCGAAGCCTACCTTGAGATGCAGCGGGCTGCTGGCAAAGCCATCCCTATCCTCCTTTGTTGTGTAATCGGGTTCAGGCTCGAAGCTATCCACATAGACACGATGCGCGCGGTAGACCTAGGCATAGCTTGCCATATCATTGGAAACGTGTTGTGGTTGATCGCAGTGGTCAGATCGTGCTTTGGTGGGAGCAACATCGCCGAGCAAATTTCGGAGCTCCATGGCCACGTGAAATCTTGGTGCGATAGCACCACATGCCAAAATCGCACTCGTGGTAAGTTGAACGCGGAGAGGATCAGAAAGAATGGAGAGTGGCCCAAACTGAAATGCAAGGCGGCAGCCTGCAGAGCATTAGCCAGATATGCGCTTGCATTGATGCTGGAGGTTGGTAGAGATGAAGACGCCAAAGTACTTGCGGTTGTTCAATTGTTGTGCGGATTTTACGACATACTGTACTCCGAGTCGCAATTTCACAGCGAATCGGTGAAGGCTGAGCTTCCACAGTTAGGCCAGATGCTCGCTCAATTGTACTCAGATCTAGCTCGCGACGCGTGGGCAGCTAAAGTCAGGATGTGGAAGATGTCACCCAAGCTCCGTCTTTGGGAGCACCTCACAGAGGAGCAATGTATATTCTTAGGGAATCCCAGGTACTACTGGTGCTACGCCGACGAAGACCTTGTTGGATTGATTACAGAAGTGGCAGAGACAGCGCATCCTGCGACTGTTTGCCAGACCACTCTTTTCACATGGCTGCATCTGATGTTTGACGATGCGTGAGGGCGTGCACGCTGGAACAAAATAAAATGTGCTGCTCGCACTCCGCCGCTTGCCCCCGCTCCTGCCCCTCCTCCTCTTAGAAATACACGTATAAACGTGACATAATTCTATGTGGTATATTGAAACCCATGTTCAAGGTAAAATATCTAAATTAACATGTAAAAAACACACAAATCAAGATAGACACCATTGGATTCTAGATATATCCTCTTGTTTCTGGCACGAAGTATCTTGAATCTAAACAGATGAGTGGCTTTCCTCACTTTTCTGAGGGTCTTGGGCCTCTGGGTGGGGCCTTCGGTGGAGCTCCCTATTGGGCTACGATCCTCGTGTGGGGTGTGCCGAAATGGGGCGGGGCCGCCATGCGAACTTTCCCATTGTGGCCTTCGGTGGACCCTCCTATGGGGCTACGATCCTCGCGAGGGGTGCGCTGAAATGGGGCGGGGCCGCCATGCGAACTTTCCCATTGGGGCCTTCGGTGGAGCTCGCTATGAGGCCACGGTCCTCGTGAGGGGTGTGCCGAAATGGGGCGGGGCCGCCATGCGAAGTTTCCCACTGGGGCCTTTGGTGGAGCTTTCTATTGGGCCACGAACCGTGTGAGGGGTGCGCCGAAATGGGGCGGGGCCGCCATGCAAATTTTCCCACTGGGGCCTTCGGTGGAGCTCCCTATGGGGCCACGATCCTCGTGAGGGGTGCGCTGAACTTGGGCGGGGCCGCCATGCGAACTTTCCTACTGGGGCCTTCGGTGGAGCTCCCTATGCGGGCGTGCGATCCTCGTGAGGGGTGCGCCGAAATGGGGCTGGGCCGCCTTGCGAACTTTCCCAGTTGGGTTTTCGGTGGAGCTCCCTATGGGGCCACGATCCTCGTGAGGAGTGTGCCGAAATGGTGCGGGGCCGCCATGCGAATTTTCCCATTGGGGCCTTAGGTGGAGCTCCGTATGATACCACGATCCTCGTAAGTGGTGTGCCGAAATGGGGCGGGGCCGCCATGTAAACTTTCCCATTGTGGCCTTCGGTGGAGCTCCCTATGGGGCCACGATCCTCGTGAGGGGTGCGCCGAAATGTGGCTTTCCCACTGGGGCCTTCGGTAGAGCTTCCTATGGAGCCACGAAGCGCGCGAGTGGTGCGCCGAAATGGGGCGGGGCCGCCATGCGAACTTTCCCACTTGGACCTTCGGTGGAGCTCCCTATTGGACCACGATCCTGGTGAGTGGTGTGCCGAAATGGGGCGGGGCCGCCTTGCGAACTTTCCCGCTGGGGCATTCGGTGGAACTCCCCATGGGGCCACGGTCCTCGTGAGGGGTGTGCCGAAATGGGGTGGGGCCGCCATGCGAACTTTCCCATTGAGGCCTTAGGTGGAGCTACCTATGGGGCCACGAAACGTGTGAGGGGTGTGCCGAATTGGTGGACACGCGGGGAATAGAGGCACGACGCTGACGATGGCGATGTTGATGACGCCGATGATGGCGATGGTGCCCACAATGATGGTGATGGTGCTGATGATGATGATGATGATGATGATGATGATGATGATGATGATGATGATGATGATGATGATGATGATGATGATGATGATGATGATGATGATGATGACGACGATGACGATGACGATGACGATGATGATGGTGAGAGGGGGAGGGAGTGGGCAGCGGGGGGAGGAGGAGAGGTGGGACGCGGGGCGCTGTCTCTTCAAAACGAGGACCCAACACCACAGGATGGTTGGGAACAAATCCGTTCTGGGAGGATTGGAGCCGAAGCCGGAACCAGTAAACAAAGCTGCGACGGAGCCGGTGCAAAAACGGCGTCGGAACCGGCAGCAGAAACGGCAAAACGGAACCGGTGACAGAAACGGCCCTGTGGTTTCCAGGTCCCGCTAATCACCACCCACCAACCCACCCCAACCCAACCCGAAGGCCCCGATTTGCCTTCCATTTCCAGTGGGGGGGGGGGCTTGGGAATGGAAGAAAACACACATATGGAACCCGTACCCCCCCGAACCCGAAAGTCGTGTCTTCGGGTTGGGCTGGGGGTGGTCTGGTATGTAGTCAACTATCGGGGGAACGTAAGACTCGGGTAAGCCGGAACTCGGGTTTGCCGATTTTTTTTGACGAGCGCGTCCTGGATTTTGACGGTCCAGTTTTCGTGGGATGTCTGCTGTGGGAGCGCGCGTCAAATTTCAGATTGCGTCTCGTCATTTTTACGACGGACCCCGTCAGGCCAACCCGCGTCCCCCGTACCCGAGTCTTACGTCTCCCCGAAACTAAGGTCTGGGAGGTGGCATCATCGTTACTTTGTGTGTGGTTTCCCCGGAGGAGGCGGAGCGCCGCGCGGCCGCGGCTGCCGCGCTGCGGCGCCGGCGGGCGGCCCTCGAGACGGACACCACGAGCGAGGAGGGGTCTCCGGGGGGCTCGAGGGGAAGTCGGCGGCGAGCGAGGGGGGGAAAGGAGCAGGGGAGGTAAAACGACACGAAGATCGGGCCAAAATCGGATCGGGATAACTCGAAATCTCTGGGAATCGGCGGGTTTGGAGGATGTATTGGGCGCCGCGGCCGCTCCAGAGCGTTCCGGAACGCTCTGAGAGCGCTCCGGAACGCTCTGGAGCGATTTATCCCGATCCTAGCCCTGTTTGAGGGAGAAGGGGAGGGCCTTCTCAGAAGGCGGCGGGACGGCTCAGAAGGCCTCGCGCCCTCCGAGGGGCCTCCGCTGTCCTCGTGGAAGGCCCAGGAGGCTTCTCGGAAGGCCGGGAGACCTCCGAGCCGTGTGAGAAGGCCCGCCCTTTCTCACTCCTTTTCGGGGGCAAGGATGCCCGTCGGTATTTTTGGTATTTCTGGATCCCCAGTTCCCAGTCCACGTTTGGCGCCTTCCCACTTCAGGGGTCGAGCGTTTTTCCCCCTTCCCGCCTCCTCAGGGGGCGTGCGGAAGCCCAATCTACTTCCAATCGGCATCCCCCCAACATACTTATACTATGTGTTCGTCGCCCCCCCAGGGGCGACGCGCGCACCGAGAAATCTTGTAGTATATGCGTCGTGGCGGGCGCTTTCTGGCCACACCGCTCGGGAAACGATATACTACAAGATGTGTATACTATATGTTCGGGTCGGACGCGCGCCTCCAAGGAGGACATATAGTATTAGTATGTCCATGTGCGTCCCATCCAACGTCTTCCTGCGTCATGGCTCTGCCCACTTCTTCCACCGACGGGTGAGGGTCAGAGCCCCGAGTCGTCAAGGCTGGGAGCAGTCAGGGGTACACCTTAGGCGATGCTTAAGAAACAAGTTTTCGTCCAGAGTCTCGATTATTCTTAACTTTTCAATGTAAATCCCAAGATGTTGATAGAAGTTCTGGGTTTTTATTCAATTTCTGAGACTGTGAATTTCTTAACCCATGATTTCTTAAGCATTTCGCAGGGTGTAGCTGCATGTTCGCGGTTGTCCCTGATGATTCGGGCGTCCAGCCTTCCCGAATCGTCGGGGCCGGGAGCAGTCGGGGGCAGTTTTTTGGGGTTCGTGCCCCTGGGGCCCACATCGGAGTTGCCCTGGACCGCAGTTGTCCAAGACAGTTTGGGGATTTGCTCCGGGGGGATGCATCGACCCCCACTGGCCGGGTAATTAGGGGCACGATCGCCCACCCAGCACAGGAAGGTGCTATTTCGCTGTCGGGGACCTAGCGCGATCTGTCGGCGATGTATGGCCGACTTCATGCCGATGTCCCCCCCTCCCCCCCCTCAGGGGTGGACAGAACCCCCAACAGTGACACGTCGATTAGTGAATTGTCCGTTTTCGGTTCTCGAGAGGGCGCCGCGGCCGTTACTTTCCAGGCTGGCGCCCGCCAGGTTCGGGCCGCAGGTCGCTTTCACTAAACCACGTTTTACTAAAGGGGGGTCTGTCCATCCCCGATCCCCCCACCTTCTGCCAGTTCCACCCAATCGATGCCCTTCAGGTCTGCGAAGCGCCGCCCAGCGGCGGCGGAGCAGCCGCACGGCGGGGGAGAGGCCGCCGCGGAGGGCGGCTCTGGCGCCGACGACGGCGCCGTAGCGCCGGTCCGAGGCTCCGTGGTGGTCGGGCTCTTTGGCTCGGCGCCGCGGCCGTCCCTGCGCCGACAGGGGGCCCTGGAGCTGGACCAGCCAGAGGACCAGGGCGCGAACTGAATGGTGTTTGGGCGATTTCGTGAACCTGTTTCGTTTCGATCTCGTTTGGCAGCAGAGGCGGGACGAAGGCAGAGCGAGGAAAAACACGGAAGCCACACGAAAGCGGGAGACACTGTTGAGCTCGCGCCCTGCAGAGGCTTCCGGCGACGAGGAGGCCGAGCCCTCGGTGCCCCAGGGCGACCGCGCAGACAGTGGCGACGGCCCCTGGCCGGCCGCAGCGGCCATCTCCAGCGCCATCCACGCGGCCGCGCCGGGCCGTCGCAGAAGCACGCGCCGCCAGAGCGCCCGCGCGCGGCGGCCCAGCCGCGAGACCGCGGGCCCCGCGCAGCAGCCGGGCGCCGCGACGGCCCACCGCCGCAGCGTGCGGCGCGCGGCCGCGGACGCGGGCCAGGCGGGGGGGGAGGCCCCCGCGGGGGCCGCGGGGGCGCCGTGCGCGCGGAGGGCCTCGGCGCGGAGGGCTCGACGGGCGGGCCCGGCGGCGGCGCCGCGCAGCACCGCCGGCGGAGGCGGTCCGAGGCCGCGGCGGAGCCGAGGCCCCCCAGCTGGTCCCCGTCGCCGCCGCGGCGCGGCGCCGCCGCTGCCGAGGCGCCGCCGGGCAGCGGGCGGCGCGCGGGGGCGCCGGCGGGGCAGCGGCCTCCGGCCTGGGAGCCGCAGGAGAGCGACGACGCCAGCCTGCCCTTCGAGGCGTCCCAGGCCGGGGCGGCGGGATCTGCACGCAGCCGCCGCCGTCGCTGGCCAGGCGGCCCATCCGCCTGGGCCAGGCGCGGTGCAGCTGTGCCCTCCCTGGCCAGGCCGGCGGGGAGGCAGATGCACCGCTCCGCGGCCCAGGATATGGGCCTGGCCAGCGGCAGCGGAGGTGTGTGGTAGATCTCGTCGCCCTGCAGGCCAGCAGCGGCAGCGAGCGCGGGGCCGATCGCGGGGCGCGGTGCCCGCAGCAGCCGCCGCCCTCCGCCCTGGCCGGCCGCCCTCAGGGCACGGGCGGGGAGGCGGTCGGGGCTGGCCATCGCCGAAGCGGGGCCCGCGCGATGGCCCGCGCTCCACCTGCAGGAACGTGTGGACTCGCCCTCGGGGGCCTCTCGCCGATCTGTCGGCGATGCATCGCCGATTCCAGCTCGGCGTGCTCCCCCCTCCCCCCGAGCTGGCCCCCCCCCCCCCCAACGCTTCACCTCCTGGAGTTGAGTCGGGCCTGTCCCTCTACAGGGGGGATATTCAAAAATAGTATGGGGGCGATTTTTTGACCATTCTTGGCCATTTGGGGGTATTCTTTGGGTCTTTGACTGTTCGTCCAAAATCCCCCTGTAGGGGGACATGCCCGACCTAATCCTAAAGCTTCGCCGCTTGGACGGGTCGAGCAGCAGGATGGGCCCAGACCCTGCATCCTCTCAGCATCGTGAAGCCGATCCCTATCCTTATGATGTCCCAAGCTGCTGCTTTAGCCGGTCTTTGACCGTGATCGCGAGGAAGAATTCCGAGCGCCAAAGAAATATCGGCATTGGAGGGTTTTCCCGTGTCGCGCCCTGGGAGGCGATACTCGTTCGACACCTTGCCAGCGTGTCGGACAGACCCTGTTTCGATATTCTCTGGGTGCTCCAAAATATCTGTGGCATGTGATTCTCCAGTCCGATCTGAACAACGTGGCCCTATCCCCATCCCCGTCCCGATCCCCTTGATCCCACCACTCCGGTTGGGGATATGCCCCTCGAAACCCGAAGGGAGCAGCCTATAGATCCCCATCTGTGGGGCCGAGTCGGCCAACGCGGCCCCCTCGGGCGGAGGCCTGCTGGTTTTCGGATCATTCCACGGGCCTCCGGCCGCCATTCGTCAGGAGGGAAAGAAACACACAGACACAATTAATCGTCGACTCCCAGGAAAATATACAAAAATATGGGAAATGGTGGGGAAGACAAAAACCCAGAAAATATGGGGAAATATGGGGAATATTTTTATTTGTGTGTATTTATTTGTGTGTTCCAGTTCCCCTTCAATTCGGGACGACCCGGGCAAACCCCCAGAACGCCTCGGCGAGGCGCAGCCGCTGGTGGAAGGCATCGCGAGGCAGGACAGCCGCCGAGAACCAGCGCAAGCGACCTTTCATCTCGACCCTGGAGACCTCAAACCTCGAACCTCGAGGCTTCGATGCCCCTCAGGCGGAGGCCCCATGTTTTTTTCATAACGTCGACCCCCCAGAGGTCTCGACCCAATCCCTGGGACCGGTCTCTCATCCCCGTTCGCAGTCGTTCCTTGACCGCCCAGGAGGCCCCTGGAGGGCCCGTTGAGAGCCCCTGGAGGCCGAATATAGCGAAATACCTCCCGCCGTGTTTTGTTCATGACACGAGGGAATCTGGGTCTCACTCTCCCCTACCGTTGCCCCTTCTGCGGCAACTCATGGGAGGCTCCCATGGCCTCTGGTTGGCTCCTGCGCGTCGACGCCAAGTCGACGCTCATCGACGCTAAACCGACGCCAACCGACGCTACTCGACGCCAGGGAACGCTGCCCCTCGGGCGGAGGCCAGTTGGTTTCGGATCACTACACGGGCCTCGGGCCGCCGTTCGGGACGACCCGGGCAAACCCCCCGGAACGCCCTCGGCGAGGCGCAGCCGCTGGAAGGCACCGCGAGGCCGGCAAGCCGCCGAGAACCCGCGCGAGCGACCTCGAGACCTCGAGATTCCTCGAGATCCTCGAGACCTCGATGCCCCTCGAGACCTCGACCGCCCGAGACTTCCTCGCCCCTCCTATATAGGCGGCCCGGATTCGTAGATCGACCTTGGCAAATCGGGGGCACCCTCGTGCCCTGTGTCCTGCGACCCATGCCTCCTGCGGTTCTGTGGCCACGTGGCCCGCGGAAGGGCCTCGTGCCCTGTCGCGCGTCCTCCCCAATCAACTCCCACTTTGCAGGCGGAGGCCTGGGCGCTGCGCCGCGCCGCGCCCCCGGCGCGCCGCGCCTCGCCGCCGCCGCTGCGGCTGCAGCCCGCGGCCGGCGGGCCGCCCGCGCGGGCGGCCGCGGGGCGCACGGCGGCCGCTCGGCCGTCGCCGTCGCTCGGCGGCCGCGCCAGCGCCCGGCAGCCCGCGGCGGCGCCCGCCGCCGCCGGTGCCGCCGCGGAGGAGGCCAGGCTCGGGGCGTAAGTCGGGCGTGTCCCTCTACCGGAGGAATCGTCCAGAATAGTCCGAAGATATTTCGGGGTATGCGTTGGTAGTATTATTTTGGTTGTTATTACTATTAGTATTATTACTGTTATATTATGAATACGAATTATTATTAGTATCATTATTAGTAGTAGTCGTACTTATTATTCTTGTTATAATGAGTAGTAGTAGTAGTAGTAGTAGTAGTAGTAGTAGTAGTAGTAGTAGTAGTAGTAGTAGTAGTCGTAGTAGTCGTAGTAGTAGTAGTAGTAGTAGTAGTAGTAGTAGTAGTAGTAGTAGTAGTAGTAGTAGTAGTAGTAGTATTAGTATTAGTCGTCGTCGTCGTCGTCGTCGTAGTAGTAGTAGTAGTAGTAGTAGTAGTAGTAGTCGTCGTAGTCGTAGTAGTCGTAGTAGTCGTATAGTCCGTCGTGTCGTAGTTCAGTAGTCGTCTTATAGTAGTAGTATAGTAGTAGTAGTAGTAGCAGTCATCTGTAGCAGTAAGCGTATGCATTAGCATAGTGTAGTATTAGCATAAGTAGCAGTAGTAGCAGTAGTAGTCGATTAGCAGTAGTAGCAGTAGCAGGGCAGTAGTATTAGTGTAGTTAGTAGTAGTAGTAAGTATTAAGTAGTAGTAGTCGTTAAGTAGTAGTATGAGTAGTCAGTATTATTATTAGTAGTAGTAAAGAGTAGTAGTAAAAGAGTGAGTAGTAGTAGTAGTAGTAGTAGTAGTAGTAGTAGTAGTAGTAGTAGTAGTAGTATTAGTAATTAGTAGTAGTAGTAGTAGTAGTAGTAGTAGTAGTAGTAGTAGTAGTAGTATTAGTAGTAAGTAGTAGTAGTAGTAGTAGTAGTAGTAGGTCGTAGTAGTAGTAGTAGTAGTAGTAGTAGTAGTTAGTTAGTAGTAGTAGTAGTCGTAGTCGTAGTAGTAGTAGTAGTAGTAGTAAGTAGTAGTAGTAGTAGTCGTAGTGTAGTAGTTAGTAGTAGTCGTAGTAGTAGTGTAGTAGTAGTGTAGTAGTAGTAGTAGTAGTAGTAGTAGTAGTAGTCGTCGTAGTAGTAGTAGTAGTGAGTAGTAGGTAGGTAGGTAGGTAGGTAGGTAGGTAGGTAGGTAAGGTAGGTAGGTAGGTAGGTAGGTATCGGTCGGTCGTCGTCGGTCGGTCGGTGGGTCGTCGGGGTCGGGGGTGGGTGGGTGGGTGGGTGGTGGGTGGGTGGGGGTGGTAGGGGGGGGTAGGTAGGTGGGTTAGGTGGGTAGTGGGTAGGTGGGTAGGTGGGTAGGTGGGTAGGTGGGTAGGTAGGTAGGTAGGTAGGTAGGTAGGTGGGTGGGTAGGTGGGTAGGTGGGTAGGTGGGTAGGTGGGTAGGTGGGTAGGTGGGTAGGTGGGTAGGTGGGTAGGTGGGTAGGTGGGTAGGTGGGTAGGTGGGTAGGTGGGTAGGTGGGTAGGTGGGTAGGTGGGTAGGTGGGTAGGTGGGTAGGTAGGTAGGCATGCATGCATGCATGCATGTATGCATGTATGTATGTATGCATGTATGCATGTATGCATGTATGCATGTATGTATGTATATGTTTATGTATTATTTCAATTCTTCTTCTTCTTCTTCTTCCTCTTCTTCTTCTTCCTATTACTATTATTATTGTTATTATCATTCGTATTATCAGTATGTTTATACTACATATCCCGGGGGGCGTGGCCGTGGGGTCCCGCCCGAGGACCTCGGTGGCGCATGGGGGGCCTCGGGCCTTACTTTCCGTGTTTTTTCAGGGTTTCGGCGGCCCGGAGACAACAGACCCCCAAGAGGTTGCAGGGAGCTCCAATGGCTGCTCCCGCCTGGTGCCCCATGGCTTCCACAGGCCTCCCAGAGGCCTCCAGGAAAGCTCCCCGAAACTCAAACATTTGGTTTCCCATGTTTTTCTCCACGCAGCCTGTGCTGCATCCCCACGCTGCACGGCAGCCCCAGAGGGCGCCCACGCCGTCCCGGTTCGGCCCCAGAGGCTCCCAACCTTGGCCCCAAATGGGTCCGCACGGGAGGATCGGCGCGCATTTCCCCTGTGTTTTTTATAGGATTTCGGCGACCCGGAGCCAACAAAACCCCAAGAGGTTGCAGGGAACTCCAGGGGCTGCTCCCGCCTAGTGCCCCAGGCTTCCCACAGGCCTCCCAGAGGCCTTCAGGAAAGCTCGCCGAAACTCAAACACGTGGTTTTCCCATCGGGCAGTTCTCTGTTAGGCCGGTAGTTTCGTTCCCTACTCCCTGGGGTTGATTTTCCGCTCCGGCTCGGTGTGTATCGGTCTGATTCGGCCCCATTCGGTCCACAAGCGATCTTGGTTCGGTTCGGTTCGGGTCTCTACCGCGACCGTTCCGGTTCGGTTCGACTCGTCTTGGGGGGTGGCGCTGGTTTGCGGCCGTTCGATTCAGCCTGGTTCAGTCCAGGCAGTTCTGGAACCTTCCTGCAATGAAACACTGCAACGGAGTTACGCCAGAAAGGAGGCAACACAGCACGAGATTCCCAATGCTCCAGGAGGGTCGGCCGTCAGGACCCTCTGGAACGAGATCCGCTGTCGATGGCACTGCTTGCCGTGG